TAATCTTGTAAGGTTATTAAAAGATATCATAAGTATTTGTTTAATGAGTTTGAAAATTTGAAATGAAAAAAAATTGCTCATAATTGAGCGTGCGATTATAATACCACGGGATTGGTGGAGAAACTTATCCTCATTTCTAGTGAGAGAAGTACTGGATTTCTAGTGAGAGAAAGTTCGCCTGATTTGAATTTCGGTTTTCCGCGGCATTCCCGCATTCGGTGGTGGAGGCGTCGGATGATCGCCGGCGTTGTTCTGCCGGTGTCATGAATGCTCCGCGACCTTACGGATCTCTACTTCCTAATGGTAGAGTTTCAAATGGTATTGTGATCAGAGACGGAGAAGTACCGCCGTGTCGTCAAGTTCATGTTGAAGGAAAGGGAAAGAACATTATGGTTGAAAGTATGGTTGGGAAGAAGTTTTACAATGCTCAGACCTCTCCTCCTGTTTCAACCAAGAATAAATTTGATGCCCTTTCAAACCAAGATGCTCAAACTGACCCTCCATCTATGACTGTTGTCTCCCTTCCCACCTCTTCTTCTTCTTCTGAGATTGGCCCTAGGGATAAACCGCAGGATACCTCTAAGCCTTCGACCTCCTCCAATAACCACCTCAATGTCCCTAACACCACCTCTACCAAATCCACAAGAGCAAAATCGGCCAAAAAGACCACCACACCCACCTCAAAATCCCAATGACCAGACTCCCTTTCATGGCGTCCTGGAATACCCGCGGGTTCAACAGCCCGGACAAAGCCCTTTGCTGCCAAAATTTAGTCAAAACCTTTAACCTTGATCTGTTTTTTCTTTTAGAAACCAGAATCACCAACCCTTCTCTCCACAGCCCCTGGTTTAACATCACTCATTCTGTTTTTGCTGCTGAAGGCTCCTATGATAACTTTGACCTTGCCTCTCCGGGTCATATCTGGATAAAGTGGAACACGGCAACTGTGAATTTTAAGCCTCTTTTTACGTCTAGTCAGTTAATACATGGCTCTATTTTTTCTGGCAATACGGAGGTTTACTGTGTATCTGTGGTTTACGCCTCAAACTCTATGGATGAGAGGCTCACTTTGTGGAAGGATCTTTATGACATTGCTGTTGGTATTTCGGGCCCTTGGATTATTTTAGGTGACTTCAATTGCTGCAGGTCACAACATGAGAAAGCTGGTGGCTCTTTACTTATTAATAGCAAGGTTTTAGATTTTAATAATCTAATTTTCAATATTTATGTTCATGATCTATCTTCTGTTGGTCACTACTTCACTTGGTTTAACTAAAGGGCGGAAAACCCTATTCATATCAAACTTGATAGGATGCTGGTTAATGACAGTTGGCTAGACAGTTTTCCTAACTCATACTACATTGTGGATAGCCCTCGGATTTCCGATCACTCACCTATTATCTTGCACAATGATCAAACTCCACATCAGAAACATCGTTTCCTCTTCAAAAATTATTGGCTTACTAAAAATGAGTTTTGGGATTCTCTTATTCAGATTTTTTCCCAAAGATTTCATAGCATCCCTATACATGCCTTTATCAGAAGCTCAAAACTCTCAAGATCAACATCAAAGCTAAATCTTGGGTTTCCTCCAATTCACTCCAGCAAGATATTACAGAACTCAGTAGCAATCAAAACTTATTTCTGTGTCAAATTCAGGCCTCCCCTCTGGACCCTGAAATTAACTTGGCCCTTAAAGACATGAACGACCAACTTGCTGCTAAAAATTCAGATTGGTCAGGTTGGATTATTCAAAGAGCTAAGGCAAAATGGATGTCAAATGGGGAGGACGATCTTAAGTTCTTATACTATAGGATCAATGTTTGACACAACTCCAATCTTATTAGGAGTATCACGACTATTGAGGGGACCTTCAATACACCAGTTGATATCAATAAAGCTATTATCAACCATTTTCAAAAGCTCTTTAACACTGCTGTACCGTCCACCTCCTCTAGCTGGAATGCTCCCATTCACATCAAACTCCCTGAAAGTTTAATTCCTCAATTGACCTCTCCAATTTCGGTGGAGGAAATAAAGGCTGCTATTTTTTCCTCCCCTAACTGCTTAGCTCCTGGCCTAGACGGTTACACATTTGAATTTTACAAATCTTCTTGGAACACAATTGGCAGACAACTCTGTGAAGCAGTTTTTTCCTTCTTCTCCACCAACTCTATGCCTAAGCATGCTAAAGCAACCGCTATTGCTCTTATTCCCAAAAGGCCACAAGCTCAAGACATTGCTGATTACAGGCCAATATCACTCTACAACACTTTCTACAAGATCATTGCTAAAATCCTAGCTAATGAAAGATGTTATGCCTTCCATCATTCACCCCAGTCAAGCCGGTTTCATCAAGGATAGAATTATCTCTGACAATATTCTCCTGATAGCCGATATGCTCAAAGATTTCAATATCAAACCCAAACAGTCTTTTTTCTGTGCTAAGTTTGATATTCACAAGGCCTTTGACACTGTCTCTAGGGAATATCTGACTGGTCGTATGCTTGCCAAAGGATTTCCTGATGTGTTTGTCTCTTAGATCAATGGTTGTATCTCCGACGTCCACTTCTCTATCTCTATTAATGGATCCCTTGAGGGTTTCTTCCACTCCTCCTCTGGCCTTAGAAAAGGATGCCCTCTATCACCTTATCTCTTCTGCATTGTCATGGATAGTTTATCCTCTTGTTTTGAAGAAGCAGGTTCTAATCATTCATTAATTGGTATGGAGGCTGGGAACTTTTCTATCTCCCATCTACTTTATGCTGATGACCTTTTGGTCTTTGCTAAGGCTACTCAGGGCAATGCTCACTCTTTGAATCACATTATTTCTAGCTTTGCTAGCATCTCCGATCTTCAAGTGAATAGTAATAAGAGTAAAATTCTTTTCTCTAAGAATACTTCTGATGATCAGGATATCAGCAATATCCTGAATATCCCAATTTTGACAACCCCAATTAAATACCTTGGCATTCCAATCTTCACGTGGAAATTGAAAGTTTGTGATTTTCAGCCTCTATTGCATAAGATTTCTATTTCTTTGGATGGCTGGAAAGCAAGAACCCTATCTATGGCTGGTAGACCTCAACTATACTATTAACAACATCCTTGTCTATTGGATTCATTAGACTCTGATTCCTAAAGCTTGTGTTAAAAAGATAAAAAGCCTTTGTTCTAGGTTTCTTTACTTTGGGGACATTAACAAGAGAAAATTGCACATGATATCCTGGAAAGAGACATGCAAGCCAAAAATTTATGGGAGGCTGGGGGTTTCCTCCATTGAGTCTCTTTATTTTGCTTGTGGTTGTACTGTGGTTTGGAGATTTTACAACTCTAAAAGCTAACTTTTTTGCTGGTGGAAGGAAAAATACGGGTCTTTTTGGAATACCGGTAAGCCTCAATGCTCTGTTTATTGGAAGGCTCAATGTGATGTTGCTAAGTGCTTGCTTCACTCTATCAATTTCAAAATCATACCGAGCAGCAGTCATTCATTCTTCTGGGACCCATGGTGCTTTGGGCAATCTGTGGCTGAACGACTGGAGCAAGAAAACATTCATTATATGATCACACCATCCAATTCTAATTTGAAAGTTAGCAATTTTATTTCTAACGGTAATTGGAACTTTTCTTTACCTTTTTCAGCGTGTTTAGTTAATAATCCATCCCAATTTCTAACACGCTGGATGAATGATGTTGGACCGGTCCTACTAAACCATCCTTTAGCACTTTCACTATGCAATTGTTTGAGGATACTGAGAAGGTTTCTTGGTATAATTTTGTTTGGCATAAACATTATACTCTGTTGTACTCTCTTTTCTCTTGGATTGCCTTTAAGAATGGTCTCAAGACAGCTCAGGCTTTAGCTGCTAGAGGTATCCCTGTTAACACACACTTTGAAACTCAAAATCATCTTCTTTTTCAATGTGATTTTTCATTCCAAATTCTCAAATGCCTCTTGCCTAGAATGAGTTTTATGATGCTTAGGCCCAATCTGTGGCAGGGGTTTAATGTGTTTGGGGATATGGAATCTGATAAGAATAGAAGGAACTTCATGTTTCTTCTAACTTCTGATATTGTTTACTTTTTATGGAAAGCGCGGAATGACAGAATGTTTGGAAATATTACTGATAGCCTTGAGACCATTACTTATAAAATTAAAAGGGCGGTTTTACACAAGACTTTCAACTGAAAATGTTTTCACCATATACAGGATATGCTCACTTGATCTCTTCCTTTTTGGCTGTGAAAGGTTTTCGGATGCCCCTTGGACGGCTTCTCCTTGCAACTAGGGGCTGGCTGGGTGTTTTGAAGGACGATGATGACAGCAATCTTTTTTCCTCCCCTTGGATGGTCTGGATTACCAGGCTTCTCCCAGACAACCAGGGGAATTTTGGCGACCTGGGTGTTCTTCTTGCAGATTGCACTGAGTGCTTATTGCTTATTGCTTACTTTCTTATTTGCTTCATTGCACAATTGCCTTTTTGTTAGGCTGCTAGTGCTCAATTGCCTTTTTTGTTCTTAATTCCACTGTATTCAGTCTTTTTTTATTGTTTTTTTTCTTCTTTAGCAGCAAATGCTGATAGGATTTTGTCAGTTGCTAAATTTTTTATGTTTAGCATCTAATCTTCTTACTGTAACTGTTTTTTGCTTCATTAATGATATGGACTGATGCCCCAAATATTCCAAAAAAAAGAGAAATCCAGGTTTGGCAATTCTTGAATCATCGGCTTCGGTTGATTTAAATTTACGTGTGAACAAGTTTTATGGAGTTCTTGATAAGCTTAAGGGGCATAATATCAAAGATGATTTGAATTCAGTGATGGTTGAGGATTTTGTGTTCATTCCAGACGAACAAGATGAATGTTTGCCCAAGATAAGAGGGTAGGAGTTTGGGTGAGGTTGCTGAAGCATGGTCGAAACCGAAGCCAATCAAGATTTCATTCAATAGGGACTAGGTTGAATTTTCAGAGGATGGCATTGCTGTCAAGTTGAACGCAAATATGGAGGCAAAGAATTCTCAAATTTTGAAGAATTCGGTGGTAATTAAAGTGTTGGGTAATAATGTGCCATTTTCGGTGTGCAGCACAGAATTGAGGAGGCAATGGAGCAAATTCAGTGGATTTTACTTGACGTCTATTGGTATGAACTGGATTTTGTGTTCATTCCAGACGAGTAAGGTGGTAGAAGAAATTCTAAATGGTGGACCTTGGTATGTGAACGGGTTCATTGTTGGTATGGATAGGTGATCTGCAGCATTTGATCTGAATACATTTAAAGGAGTTTCTGCTCTTGTTTGGATTAGACTTACGTGTCTGCTTCTGTATTGCTGGTATGAGGATAATATCGCAAGAATTGCTTCTTGCTTGGGGACGCTAATGTACATTGATGGCAATACCTTTCGCTGGGGTAAATGGAAGTTTGCCCGTGTATGTGTGAGGATCGATCTGGAGAAGAAACTAATGAATGGTGTTTGGGTGGATGGATCAACTGGAAGGTTCTTCCAACAGGTGGAGTATGAGAAAATTGATCTTCTCTGTTATCAGTGTGGTAGTGTGGGCCATGACAGAAAGATATGTCCAGAAAATGTAACCATTGGAATACAGGATCAAGCATTGAGGGAGACGGATGGAGTAAATGAAAATAGTGAGAAGGTTGTGTCTGACAGCAAAACTTCTATGATTAGATTCGAATATGGACCTTGGATCCATGTTCAGTTCAAAAATAGGAGAGGTAACAGAGGTAATGTTATTGGAAAAGGAATGAATGTCAATGGGTTCAACAATGATATCAGGGGAAATGTTAATAAGAAGGTCACTGTGCAGAAGGAATCAAGGTGGTGGATGAGAAGGTTGCTGATCTTGGAAAAACTGTCCTGGTTCTAGGTGTTTATTCTGAAACTGAGAATTCTGTTGGGGATAAGAATTCAGATACTATTTTAACCAATAGATTTGCAGTTCTGGGTGATAGTATTGAAGAGGAATGTATGGGAAATCATGCAGAAGTTTATAAAACAGAAGAAGGAGGTTTGGAAATTATGGATCCAAATGTTAATAACAGTAATGTTTCCAACTTTAAGCTATCCAAGAAATTGAGATCATTAGGGCCTGATGAATCTAACTACAAAAAAAAGAAGAGGGATGGCAGGTTGAACCCCATGGGTGGGGAGAGACCATCTGCACTTGTTTAATGTCATCCATTCATTTTTGGAATTTTAGGGGGGGCTAGGAAAAAAGAGGCTTCCCTGTACTTGAAGGACTGTTAGAGATCAGAATGTGTATTTTATTGGGCTTTTGGAGACCAAATTGTCTAGTATTGATAGGAGGGATGTTGACTATTTTATTGGGAATGAATGGGAGTATTTTCATTACCCTGCGGTTGGTACATCAGGAGGCATTTTGGTGATATGGAACAGGAAATTGGTGTCTTTTGAGGTTATAGAGTCATCATAACAAGCCATTGTTGGTAGTCTGACGGTTCCCATCTTGGGAACTTGGAGAGTTGCCACGGTTTACGGGAGTAGATATTGTAAGGAAAGGGGGAGCCTGTGGAAGCAACTTCAGAAGTGTATAGAGGATACAATTCCTTCCATTATTGGAGGGGCTTTTAATTGCATCAATAACAAGGAGGAGAAGAGAGGAGGCAAGAGGTTCTTGTTTTCAAAAGGACCTAGGGAGATGAAGAGCTTTATGGTGAATTCAGATTTTCATGATATTGGAAGTGTTGGACCAAGGTTTACTTAGTGTAATAAAAAAGAGGGCACCTCTCGGATTTGGGAGAGGTTGGACAGATGTATGTTAAATTCGGCTGCTATTCAAAAGCTTCCAATTGCTACTATCAAGCATCTTGCTAGAGTGGCATCTGACCACAGTCCTATTGTTCTAAATATGAGAGATAAAGTGCAGTTTAAGGCTAAAACCTTTAAGTTTGAGGACACTTGGAGATCGTACCCAGCAGCTAAGAGCATTGTTTATCACTCTTAGAAGAAGAATGACTTTGGTGATGAGTATATGATCTTGCAAAGGAAGCTCAACCGTACTTTGAAGGCACTATTTTTTTGGAATAAGAATAAGTGCAAAGATTTGAATTTGTTGAAGGAAAAATTGAAGAAGGAAATCCTTAATCTTCAAAACAAGGAAGCTTTGGGTGATAATTGGTCGAGTGGTGACCTTTTGGTGCTTAGAAACAAAGTTCATGAACTTAATGTCATATTGAGGAGATTGTCTACTTGGTGGAATCAAAGGGCAAAGGTAAGGTGGCATGAGGAAGGAGATACGAATTCAATGTTCTTTCATAATTTTGCATCGGCAAGAAAAAATGGAAACCGTATTAATCAGATTAAAGATGAGTTCAATATAATTCATGATGAGGAGGATCAAATTGAGAAGGTTTTCACACAATTTTTTGAGAAGAAGTGGAAATATAGAGAATGTGAGCTGACGGGTTGGCAATTGGTTGATGAAAATCAGAAGGTTAGTGAAGAGGATATGGTGATGCTTAATGAGGATTTCTCTGTGAATGAACTGCAGCTCTTGGTTTTTCAGCAGGGAAACAACAAGGCACTGGGTATTGATGGAGTTACCTCTTCTTTTTACAAGAGTTATTGGAGTATTTTATGGGAGACTCTTTGGAGTGCTATCAATCGGTTTTTCAAATCCAGCATTATGAATAGGGAGTGGAAGGATACATTAATTGCTTAGATTTCTAAAGTAAAGTACCCTTTGATGTCATCAAATTATATGCCTATCAGCCTATGTCTGACTAATTACAAAATTATGGCTAGTATGCTAGTTAACAGATTGAAGAAGGTTATTGCCAAGATGGTTTCTGAAGAGCAAGTAGCATTCATTCCTGGAAGATCCATTTTAGAGCATTGTCTTTTGGCTCAGGAGATCCTTCATAAGTTCAAATTATCCAAGAATAAGAAGGGGATGATGTCTTTTAAATTGGATATGGAGCAGGCCTACGATAGCATGGGATGGGCAACACTTCGTCAGGTTCTTAAATGGTACGGCTTTTTGACTATTTTCTCTAACATCCTTATGGAATGTGTTGTAGATGTGTGGTTTTCTATCATCATCAATGGAAGGAACTCCAAGTGGATTTGTGCTCAAATTGGATTCCGCCAAGGATGTCCGCTTTCTCCTTACCTTTTCATACTATGTTCTCAACTCATGTCCAACTCATTGGAGCAAAGGGGGAAGAATCTTGGCATTCAGATTTCACCTAGAAGTCCAAAGATCACACATCTCCTTTATGCGGATGATGTGTGGATCTTTTCTCATGTTTCCATTGCTTTAGCCAACGCATTGAAGATCATAGTGGAGGATTTTTGTAAGTGGACAGGGCAAAGAGTTAATGTCAGCAAATCACAAATTTTGTTTGGCAAGGTGGTCAGTTATTCTATGAAGAAGAAAATTGCTAGTGTTCTCGGCTTCAAAGAGGTCAAGGAAATGAATTCCCTTAGTAGGATCAAGATGGAGGATTTTCAAGAACTTTTGAGTACTTTCATGGACAAACTCAATTCTTGGGGTAAGAAAACTTTGTCAATGGGAGGTAAGCTCACTCTCATTGAAACCACTTTGCTATCTATGCCAAATTTCTTAATTACTCATTGTTTGGTTCGCAAATGAGTTTTGTATGAGTTGGAAAAATTATGTAGAAATTTCATTTGGCATAAGAATGATGGAACCAATGGTATGCATTATATTGCTTGGAGAGAAATTTGCAAACGAAGAAGTATGGGTGAGATGGGCTTGCATTCTCCTTTATTAAGAATTGGCTCTTTAAGATCTAGATTGGCTTGGAACTATATTCAGAAACCGGACTCTTTGTTCCATCAAGCATTGAAAGCTAAATATGGTGATGATGTTTTGAATGGTGATCAAAAGATGGTTACTTCTAGTGCTTGGAAGATTATGTTGGATGGGGGAAAGAATTTTAAATTCGCTATTAGATGGAAGGTGGGAAAAGGTGATAAGATCAATGTCTTGAATGATGCTTGGTTGCTTGATAAAAGCATCAACCGATGGTCAACGTATGTTGATTGTGATGTGCTAGATGGTATTTATGTTCAGCAGCTGTTGGTAAATAATGGTGAGTGGAATCTTAATTTGTTACAAAGAGCCTTTCATCAGGAGCTAATTCTTTTGATTAGACAAATTCATATTGAGTATGAGGAGGAGGATCGGATGGAGTTGCTGAAATGGTGTTCGGGTAAAACAGTTTCTGCATTGGTGCATGAAAAAGTGCTGTTCAACATTTGTACCTTTGAAGATGTTGAGTTTTATAGCTGGTTGTAGAAACTTAAACTCAGTAAGAAGGTTGAAATCTTCTAGTGGAGGTTAGGTAAAGCTGCGATTCCTACGACTCTGTTTCTTAAAAATCGCAGAATTACTGAGATTGCTATTTGTGTTAGAGGCTGCCAAGTGGATGAATCGTATGAGCATATAATGGTTCAATGTAAATATATGGTGGAAGTCATTATGAAGATGCGTGAATGGTGTATTCTAATCCCTGTTTTCAGTTCTCTGGATTGCTATTTACGTGAGCTAAAGAGGCTATCAAGTTGTAACTCTGGAATTGTCAAGGTTTATTGTACAATTGTGTATCTATCTTGGAAAAATCGGAATTCTGTGAAGCATGGTAAGGTTGCATTGCCTTGCTCTATGGTTGCTTCTAATGCATTGTTCTTAGCCATCTCCAAATCTAGTCCATATCTCTCTAGCTGGGGTACTAATCTCCTTAGGGAGTTTTCAAATACTTGGTGCCCTCCACCAAAAGATTGGATTAAGGTTAACTTGGATGCCTCTTTGCTTAGCTCCAATCTTGCTGGTATTGGTGGTGTTTTTCGGTATCACAAAGGCCGGTTGATCAGTGCATTTGGAAAAAAAAATGCCCATTGGGATGTTGCTCAGCTTGAGATGGAAGCCTTTCTTACGGTGAAGGAGTTCCTTAAGAGTTGGATGTTGGAGTGCAAGGGGTTGATCATTGAGAGTGATAATGTCAATATTATCCAATTCATTCAAGACTTATTGAAGAAGAATAACTGGATTACGGATAGGTGGCCGACAAAGGATTTATTTTTTTTAAATGATTTCAATAAAGTTGTTTCCATCATGCCTATAGATGTTGTAATAAAGTAGCTAATTGTTGTGCTACTTTGGCATTGGAAAGTAGTTTTTCTTTTGATAGTTTTTCTTTAGAGAGCATCCCTTCCTTCTTGATGAACTTAATCAAGGAGGAATGTGATCCTTTTATTACTTGTAACTAGTTCTTTGTTGCTTTTTAATGCAAACTGGTGCAATTTAAAAAAAAAAAAAAAAAGATTATGATACCACGTGGGTGCCACCGTGAAACCCAGCAACAATGAGGGGTTAAATATTTTTATAATGTTATCGACGGTGCCAACTTGAATGCATAATTTTTATTTTTATTTACAGAGCTTAGGCTTACAATTAAGAGGCCTTAAAGTCAGTCTTTGTGTATATATTTTTTGTATGAATTTGCCTTAAAAGATCTAAATGCCCAAAAAAAATTCCATAATTTTTTTATCTCTGTTGAAATTGTCATTTATTGTCTTGTACATGATTTTATTTCAAACAAAATAATTTTAATTTATTGAAATAATTTATTTTTAACTTATTCATTAAAAATAATTTATTTTATTTATCTTGCATTAACTCAATATAAAATTATTATTTTTTTACATTTGTTGCATCCTGGAGTATTTGCGGTAGTAGAGAAATGTAAAGTTTAACATCTTAGATTTGTACGAAGATCCACTACCCAATCAAATAAAGAGAGATAGTGCAGTATTTAAAGAGATACCAACATTTTTATATGGAAAACCTTGAATAGGGAAAAAACCACAGGGATGGCCGAATTTGAATGAATCCAATTTTATTTATAGTCGAGTATAAATTTGGCCCTTGCTTAGGGGAAGGCCTTAGTTTGATGTAGTAAATATGCATCATATAGAGTGTGCTACATAATGAGAATTGAAAGAATTACTATTGATACAAGTGTTTGGTTGGTAAAACCATAGTCAGTGAGAGATAGAGGTCAGAAAGACCATAGTATAGTGACGGTGGTTAGAGGGACCGGAGTCGGCAGGCGATAGTGGTAAGAAAAGACCATTTTTTGGTGACAAAGGTTATAATGACCATAATCTGGATATGGAGGTTCGGAGGGACGTAGTAGGTGGGCGACGGAGGTCGGATGGATCATTGTGACAAAGGTCAAAAGAACCGTAGTCTGCGGGCAACAGAGGTTGGAAGGATCGTATTTGAAAGGCGATGGAGGTCCGACATCAATTGGTGGCCTTGCAAAAGTTCGACGTTAGTTTTGTTGTGACTCGAGCTGACGAGTTTATCTTTTTGATGTTAACAAATATTATGGCTCACATCTTTATATTTCATAGTATTTTTCATTCTATGCTTGTTTGTGTGTATAGTAACAATTTAGATAAATCATACTCCACACTGATGAAGACTTCAAGAAAGATTAGATTAGGGTTTCTTGTAATAAAGTATGTAATTTTTATATTTTTCTTGAGTATGAGAGAGTGTGGTTGCATTTGAGTAACCATGCATACACACATTGGGGGAGTGAGTCGAAACTTTTAATTTGTTTAAACAGTTCATATTGTATGATATATGGTTCGTACAAATGACTAACAGAGTATGAAATGGTGTCATACATAATCGTACTGGATGAACTTGTTTAGTTTTAAAACTGCTCATACAGTATGATGTCAATTCGTATAGACGATCGACAGAGTACGAAATCAGGTTCGTACAGGATCGTAAATGGATTTTTGAACCATTTGTACGGGACGATATATATTTCGTATGGATGACAAACTTGAGTTCGTACAAGTACATACATACAATTTGAACTATTCGTATGGGATGTTATATGTTTGTACATACAGATTATGTGGGACTGTATGCAATTGGATAGTACGATTGTAGGATAGTTTTCTTGCAATTTTTAGTTTTTGGGCGATTTTCCATGTCCTTTCTATATAAGGAGTCCTAAAAACTATCACTAAATACCTTTGTTGCGAATTTCTCTTGAGAGTGGCAATTGAGTGTGAGTGTTTGAGTGAGATTGTGAGAGTGAAGTGTGAGTGATCATTTGAGGTGGAGTTGTGAGGGATTCACAAGGTTGCCAAAAGCGAGGATCTCTTTGTCTCCTTTAAGTTTTTGCCCCTCCTCTGGAGGCTCTTAAGTGAAGTTCTTCAACATTGGTCGCGGGTTCTCTACCTTCACCAGGAGAGCAAAAAAGGATGATTATCTACCTTTATCAAGAGGTTGAAAAAGTATGACGGTTCTCTTCCTTCACCTGGAGGGTGAAAAATGACGACGGTTCTCTGCCCTCACCATGGAGGATGAAAAAGGATGACTATTCTTTGTCTCCTCGGGTTAGTGAGAGAGAGTTTCTTAGGGCTTCTCCGCCGTACTATGGGAAAAAATGGGAGTCACTATTATTTAGTGAAATACCTCAAGGAGTCTATATGGAGTGAACGTAAGTTTAGTTGGACCGAACCACTATAAAATTTGATTTTCTTCTGTTCTCTTTTATTTTCTGCATTTTTATTTTACGCACTTTAATGTTTTGTGGTTGAAAAATCTTTTGTGAAAATCTTATTCAAACAACTGTATATTTTAAGGATCAGAGTTTTACTTTTTTATAA